TATAATATTATTATATATATATATATATATATATATATATATATATAGAATGTGTTATGGATAATTTTATAAATATATTAGAATTTTGATTTTTGAAAACTGTTATAATATTAAGTTTTTATTTATTTATAGTAACTGGACCATTATCAGAGATACAAATAGCATATATGTGTCGAGAGACCCTTACTGGTTTAGCTTACTTACATAGCATGGGCAAGATGCATCGTGATATTAAGGGTGCCAATATATTGTTGACCGAAGCAGGTGATGTAAAATTGGCAGACTTTGGCGTGTCGGCACAGATTACCGCAACAATTAACAAAAGAAAGAGCTTTATTGGTACACCTTATTGGATGGCTCCTGAGGTATATTTATCGATAGTATTCAGATATGTTTTATGCTTACATTGGGGATTGATAAAATTGATATTTTTATAATGTACAGGTAGCAGCCGTGGAAAGAAAAGGTGGTTATAATCAGTTGTGTGATATTTGGGCATGTGGAATAACCGCGATCGAATTGGCAGAATTGCAGCCACCGATGTTCGACCTGCATCCAATGCGCGCCTTGTTTCTCATGTCCAAATCAGGCTTCAAGCCACCGACATTGAAAGATCGCGATAAATGGAGTCCAACATTTCATAACTTCGTCAAAATCGCCCTCACAAAAAATCCGAAGAAACGACCGACGGCAGAAAAGTTGCTTCAGGTTATTTTTATTATATTTTTAAGATACGATTTGCGATAGAAAGATAAAAAATATATTTCTGTAAAACTGCATCAACATTGTAGTCTATATATACATATAGGAGGTATTTCAAATTGTAGCATGCATTTTTCCAAGGGGAGATGAGCAAGAGACTGGCATTAGAATTATTGCAAAAAGTATCAAATCCCAGCCATATGTTTACGGATCTGGAAGCTGATGAAGATGGGGCAGTGCCCAATGTTCCACAAAGAATAGCCTCGCGTCACACCGCAAGGCCTAGGCCGAAAAGTCCTATATCACAGTTGGATAGTGATGGTAAGATTAATAATAATTAAGTAATAAACAATATATGATGAGTAATAATCTTATAATGTGATATAACCATGATTACAATTTATCTTGTAGATCAAATTAACATTGATGGAGGAACATTACATAGAGATTCCATATCACCATCCCTAGACAGCAATCCAGCATGGGATATTATGGATATCATGAATAATGTCAAGGTAAATCTATTGTAGATGTTTTTCCTACTTATGTGCCAACAAATATGTTATTATTGAAAAAAAGTATTCTCGCAATATAGCAAGTATTTTTCCAATTATAATATTAACGAAAATATGATTTTATTATAATTTTATATTTTATTATAAGCATCTCATTATATGTATAGGCCGTACATAATTGTGATCTGCATCCGGACTGTGGAGTTGCATCTGCGTTTGAAGATGTCCAGGAAAAGTAAGTTGTTTCATTTTTATTTTGTCAATTCTTATCGCACACATTGTGTACGAGAAACACTAGAAATATCGAAGCTTTTTTATTACTTTCGCTAATATGGTAGTTGCTGTTTTGTTCGAAATTGTAAATACATCCATAATCACCTCATAAATATTCAGAATAAAAACCCAAAAATATAATAAAGTTTTATATAGGCTTGTGTCATATTGTGCAATATGTATCGTCTTATCTTCTACATGTACATATCGATCAAAGAAATATAAATTATGCCAACGCAATTGTTATATACACTGCTAAACAAGACAGCAATGTAATATACATTGTAATATAAAAGCCATAAACTATTTACTCACGGCTGATAATAACTACTAAGTACATTGCATATGGCATGTGTGCTTTTGCTTGTATCATGTCATACTAGTTGTCAAACAAGTGAGAGAAATATGTAAATTCACTATTCTTACTTAAAACAGCAGCACATCATATTCTAAAATATTAGTTTGGTGATTATAAAAATTTCTTCTATGGAATAAAATGGAATAAAAATGACGAAAGATATCACTAAAACTTCAAAAATAGTATATATAGATATATAGATTCATTATTTTTTGCCTTTCATTATTATTTAATTATTTTTTACTACTTTTTGCGCAAATATTTAAAAAATTTAGAATTTAGAAACTACTTTATACTAGAAAGACTGTGATTATATATTTTTCAAAGATATACTTATTTTTGTGTCAGTACACTTGGCGTGAACCTTAAAACAAGTAAAATATCAAAACGTCGTAGCAAAACTGGCACAGAGATATTTCATATGTCTTTAAGGTAATTTAAATATTTACCAATTGGTTTGGAGTGAAAAGTTTTTTTTTATTTTTAATGTAACAAAAATGTTTTTTCTACCGAAATAAATCATGTTATTTACACTCATTTAATTCTA